CACTCCGTCCATATTTTCCTTTCCACTTCCCTTCATGGGATGATGAAGCACGCACACACACACTAGCTGCGAGCACTTTGACATGTCCTTCCCAGCCTCTGGGACTATAAGAAACTAGCATTTTTTTAATATAATTGAAACAGTTTGGGGTTTTCTGTCATAGCACAACGCTGACTAAGATCAAGACATATCTAGGGAAAGGTTAAGGAAGAACTGTAAATTCTGATATCTTGACATGAAAAATCAATAGAAGCAGATTTCAAGATGAAGGAAGCTATGAAATTTGGAAGAAAACACCAGTAGACCAATGGTTACAGTTACTTGCTTACTGGCTTTGAGCCACAAGGCATGTCAACCCTGCTCAGGGTACATACTTTGGACCATATGAAACTGTTGGTTCCAACTACTATTGATATACAAAAAAAGAATTCCATATGTAAAAGCAGTTGAATCATTTTAGACCCAAGGCATAAATGTGGGTGGTTTTAGAGAAACCGATAGCAGTGAATGATTCAAAACTATAGTGCACACCAACCTGAGCTAGGCTTTCAGACAATCCAGTAAGTTCCTCAAGGAATCAAAGAATGAGCCATAGACTTTCCTTGAATAAAGGGCCATTCTAAGCACCAAGTGCTCTGGGTCAGCTCCATCTCCCTTCCACAGAAGAAATAACTCTCACTCTACTTTCCATTGGAGCATCTCCATCACAGGGATGCAGGGTCATAAATATTGGCATTCAGGGAGAAGGAGAAGATAACGTGGAACACCCCGTGGCCCCTCCTTGCACATTGGCCAGATATACCAATGTTGCAGATCCTAGTGAGGACATTGTACAGACTCTTCTAGGAGAAACCCACCAAGTCCTCCTAACCTCTAAAAACCCTTCAGAAAAAAATTTATTTTAACATTTTAAAAAGAAGTTGTTGGATTGGAAATTATTTTTACATCCTGACTTCTAAATCTTCTCAAGCCTCTAGCCCCGAGGGCATGTGATGTAACCCTGGAGAGGTTTCATTAGGGCGCAGCAGGGAAGAGACGTCCCACGTGTTGGTCCCACGCACAGTCGCATAGGAGCCCCCAGATTCCTTCTGTGTGGAAATGATTTGAGATTCATATGATTAAAATAACTGGTTATAGAAAAAATTTGACAACTTTTGAAGGACCTGGTCTAGACAAAATGAGGAAGGTAGCTCCCTTCCGTCCTCCACCCACATAGCTCAGCACCTCAGGGGCGCACTTACGTCGGGGGTCCCTCACCAAAGCCACGGGAGGGCTCAGCACCATCAGTATCACGGTCAGAGCTGCCAGGCAGGGGCCTCTGGGGAGCCACGGACACACCATGCTGAGGAGAGGGGAGGATGGTGATCAGAGAATCCGACAAGCCTCAGTGACTGAGAACCGTGACCCAACTCCACTCAGCCCCAAGTATAAGAACAAGACATTCATTGTTTTGGTCCTGGGCTAGGTAACTTTGGTGTTGAGCCAATCAGCAGCAGAGGAGAACAGCATCATCAGTTGGTGGTAAGAAGTTCAGGATGAAGGTGTTCTGAGATTTCCAATGTCTTTCATTAAAAGGATGGCTTTAGGTGAGTGGTTTAAGGTGTTGGTCAGCTGCATCCGCAGCACTTTGACTGGACTGCTGTGCTGAACCTTCTCTGTTGACTCAAGGTTAATTTTCGACATCATCATTTTATTTTAGGATAATTAAACATTATGTAACGATATATTCTTTCTTAATGTAATATCTTATATGTATATATTGTTTTTATTTTTTATTGAGCTTTTAAAATTCCATACGATATTTCCCACTCATATCCAGAACCCCTCCCCATCCATGCCTCCCACCCTCTCCCCACCGAACCCTATGCACTCTGCCATACATGCTGAGTCCTATTCATTCAGGCGTTTGTACCCAATATCCTTCAGTGTACATGCGTCCACTGGAGTCTAGTCAGCCCATCTGTGGTTGTATGTAAACCATACTCTCCCTTACCCAGGAACTATCGGTCTTAAATAGTTCTCAATCTAGTGCTGGTCCACCACTTATTTCTCACCTCCCCTTTGAGTCCTTGTTTAATTGAGCTGACATGGTCCTGCATTTGATGCTACCACTGCCACAAGCTCACATGAGCAAGCCTCCAGTGGCCTGGAAGTCTCTACCTCCTTATGTTCATGAACCAGTCCTGGCTCTTAACAATCTTTCTGCCTCTCCTTCCACGATGGTCCCTGAGCCGTGGGTGGTGAGGTTACATATAGGAGTCCCATCCTACACTCTACAGTCTCCTATTCTCCAAAACTTGGCCAGTTGAGGCCTTCTGTGTGTGGCACACTCTGATGTACATGGAAGCCTCACTGGTAAGAGTTGAGGGGTGCATTAGCCCTCTCTCTACCCCTTATTTTGCTATGTTCCATGAGCCTTGGTTGTGGAGATTCCACTGCAGATGTGTCACCTAGTACTGGGCATCTCCCAGGTGTATGTTCTCTGTGCCTGACCAGATGTGCGACTCTGCCGTAGCCTCCGTCTGTTGCAAAAAGAACCTTCTTTGATGAGTGCTGTACGGCATGTTTGTCACTCCAAGGAGGTCTCTTCTGTCTGGCACTGCATTCCCCTCCAAGCAGTTCCTGGGTATACATAGGCATTAATGTTCAGGCATTCTATGTGCATTTCTCATAGGGTCTCCCTCTAGGTTTCCTGGCCCCTTGAGATTCTCACATTCCTACTCTTTTTTCTCCTGTTCAGCCTCCCTCCTCCCTCCCTTCCTAGTCACAGTGCCCCTGTTATCCCCACCCTCCCCTCAATAATATATATATTTCTATATATGCTATATTATATATCTAATGTTATATATAACAATGCACAATGCTGGGGGCTGGAGCGATGGCTCAGCGGTTAAGAACACTGGTTGTTCTTGGAGAAGACCCAGGTTCAAGTCCCAGCACCCACATGAGCTAACAACTGTCCATAACTCCAGTCCCAGGGGATCTGACAGCCTCTTCTGTCCTTCGTGGGCATTGCATGACACGGGTGCACTTACCTACATGCAGGCAATACACACATACACATAAAATAAAAATAAATAAAATTTAATAAAACAAAAAACAATGCATAATGTTATATATATATATATATAAATGCTATATCTAAGATATAGCAATGGACCTGGATAGATGGCTCAGCAGTTAAGAACACTGGTTGTTCTTGCAGAAGACCCGGGTTCGAGTCTCAGCACCCACATGGCAGCTAACAACTATTCCAGGGGATCTAATGCCCTCTTCTGACCACCATAGCATTGCATGACATGGGTACACATACATACATGCAGGCAATACACTCAGACACAAAATAAAAATAATAAAATATTAAAAAAGAAAAGCTGCAGCAAGTCTTTGCTAAAGAGTACATTATAAAATTTTCAGGAAGACACTTTGAATGAAGCATGAATAGTCTGTGTAAATATAATCTTATAATGTGTGAAGTATATGATTCTCATATTATATGCTTATTAGACACTATGTTAATGTAAATGTAATGACTTAGATTCAGAATGTGTTTTGAATGGAAGCTCTACACATGAAACTGAACATTAATTCATACTTTGCCACAGTTCTGATAAGCTGCCTCTCTTTATGTCTTAATCGCTCTCCGGGCAGAATTCAGCACCCTGCAATGATAATCACTGATGTGTAATGGGGGAGTTGTTGGGTACTTTATTCTGCACTCTATTTTTATTTAATTCTAGTATCAGAGTAGGATAACCACCATTTTCAATCCTGTAGATGGAGAGGATGAAATGACTGAGACTAAATACCCCATTTAGGGACCCAGGGCGAGACAATGATCCTCCACAGTCATTCAAGCTCAGTGTGACTCCAAAACCCACAGGGTCACGTGCTCCCTCATCCTGCTTCACATTCAGTTTCTGACAGAATTTATATATAAAAGGATTCCTGTCATTTGTGGTATCAATAAGACTTTCCATTTTAGCAAATGGCACCTTTTTATGTACCTTGAAATAGGAATTCTCCTTCCTTCAGAAGAGAGCCCATATCTGCCTCATTATCTTCCCTCTTGACTTGGATTGATCACATGTAATGACACCCATGGTTCCACACAAGAGTCCTTGTGGTGAAAGCCAACACAGTTCTCAGAATTCCTGGTTCCAAACTGTTGATGTCAAGCATGATGTGTTGGCACAACGTAGGGCAAGTCTGACTACCTCAGAACAGGACAGAAAGTGGACCTCACCATTTGGAAAAATCATACTTCTGATATGGGAAGATCAGAACTTCCTGGAATTCCCAGAATTCAGCTCACAGTTGTTCTTGAATTTGGGAAGATGTCATGCTCCATGCTCTACTGATAACCCAGCACTACAGGTAGGTTTAAACTATCATGTTAACATAGTCAACAGAGAAGCTGTCACCAAGAAACTAAGCAATTGTGATCTATGATGATCTAGGGAGGCAAAGCTAAGCTTTCTCTGAAAATTCCGTAATAAAAACAATGACAAATAAAAGGGATTCCATATCCAGAACATAATTAGGCTGGAGAGATGGATCAGTGGTTAAGAGAACTTGCTGCACCCACATGAGGGCTCACAACTACTTGTTCCAGGGGATCTGACACCCTCTTCTAGTTTTCATTGGCATTGCACTTGTATGTCCAAACACACACTCAGACAAACACATGCATGTACAATTGAAAATAAAAATAAAGGTGGAGAGATGGCTCAGTGGTTAAGAGCACTGGCTGAGGACATGGGTTTAGTTCCCAGCACCCATATAGCAGCTATCAACTGTTTGTAACTCCAAAACCTTCTTCTGACCCCCATGGGCATTGCAACACATGTGATACACTTACATACATATAGGCAAAACACTCATATACACAAAAACAAAATTTAAGAAATAAAAAAAAATCTTAAAAAACCAAGTAAGAACATACTGAACTCCAATTAACGTTATCAAAACTTGCTCATATAAATTTGATAATTTATAAACTATATACATTTATTTTGGGGGATAGGCTAAGACCTATAAATTGAATTTTGTATTTTGTATAAAGTTATGAATATCGAGGGCAAGCTGCTTTAAACTGCTTCTCAGTTCCCTTCAGTGTTGACTCAATATAAGCACAGTTCAGGCAAAACAGTGTAATGAATGTCCCCAAACCATCCATCCCATGGCTGGTCCCGGGGTTGAACTCCTTCACTGAAGGCAAGAGAGAGGCAGCGTCAGCCTCTGCTGAGAGGGAGATGTTCAGAAGGCACCTGAGGAAAGGGGCAGTTAAATTGTTTCCTGGGAGACTGAGGTGGTCCCCACAGCAGTGCAACAGCCCCCTGGCAGTGATGCCTGAGGCGTGAGATTCTTTATATGAATAAATTATAGCATTCTTGTAATTAATAACAGTGGTTTCAAAACAAGATCCTTTCTCTGACTTGAAATCAATCAACTACAGAGCAGCTGTTCACAGCGAGTCACAGGAAAGTTCGGTATTGGTCGGATAGAGCCCTGGAGAGAACCAGATACCAGAGGGCGTGAAAGAACTCCAGCTCTGCCAGAATCAGGATAACAGAGACCCAGCTGGAGGGCACAAAAAGCACAGAAATGGGTGCAGAGCAGACATCTGACTGTGGCTGAGCTGGGGTGTGCATAGTAGGCCAGCACTGGAGAAAATCTCTGCATTTCCTAAAGCACGATGATGGTGCTGTCCCGGGGAGCCACCTTGACACGGCAGAATGCTGCTGCTTCTGCCCCTGGGCTCCCCTAAGACTCACAGCCTTACCGTCTTTGTCAGATGCTCCCAGAGCATGGCTGAAAGAAATCCACCGTCTTGTGGGGGACTCCAGAGAGACACAGAGGGAACAGAATCTGTTTTTCTTTAAGCCTGGCATCTGGGTCACCCAAATGAAGATGTCCCGTGACTGAGCAGGCGCATCTTACCAGTGGAAGCTGGGCCTCAGAGGCTGGAGTCAAATTAGTAGGGAGCAGGCTCTGGTACCCCCGCACCCCCACTGCTGTGCAAGCAGTTGTCCTGCCCACTGAGGGGGGAGTTTCACAGGAGCCTGAAGCCCAAAGTGGCCACAGAGATCTGTAACAACTTGGCCTTGGAAGGGCATCGAGCTCATCTGTCTGTAGTAAATTCAGCTGGGAACCTTGGGTCCTGCATTATCTTGTAGCAGTGAGCAGGGCAGCTGAGAGCTACTCCAAAAAGCTCCAGCCCCGAGAGCAGGCCGGAGAGCAGCCACACAGCCAAACAAGGCAGGGGAGAGAACCAATCAGAGCAGGCGGTGCCCATCCACTGCCCACATGATGGACAGCCTCAGTGAGACAATATTTCGTTTTATATTAAGACACCTTTGGAGGGTCTTCTGGGGATAGATGACAGTTCAGAAGTTGACTCTGTGTGACTTCATGAGAAGAAATAGGCACCAAAGACAGACTTTATTCCCAAAGAGACACAGGAAGGGCATCTGGAAACACAGGACAGGAGACAGAGAGTTGAAAACGGAACACAGAGAGGTTGCCCAGAAAAACAAACAGCCCACAGGCCTGGCCCTGGCTCCCCTGGGAGAGGAGATGAAACTCAAGTCAAAACCACAAGGGAAGCCAGGTGGTCCTGGGGATGATGGACAGGCAGTCTAGCCAAGGCATAAGCTCACAATTTTAGCCTTAAATCGGGTTGGGTGGCAGGGGGGGGTGGGG